ATGGTCTCTTTTGATGTCACATCACTCTTTACGTGCATTCCTGTTGATGATGCAGTAGAGGTGGTCAGTTTAAAATTAAAATCAGACACCACTCTGAGCAGCAGGACCACGCTTTCCACAGAACAACTGTGTCAACTCTTGAAACTGTGCCTGCAGTCAACCTACTTCACATATGGGGAGCAATATTATAGGCAGAAACATGGGTGTGCTATGGGGTCTCCAGTTTCTCCTATTGTTGCCAACCTGTACATGGAGGTGGTAGAAAAGAGAGCCTTGACGTCCTTTTCAGGGACACCACCAAGTCATTGGTTCAGGTATGTTGAAGACACCTGGGTTAAAATCAAATCTCAGGAAGTCCAACATTTTACTGACCACATCAACTCTGTGGATAAATACATCAAATTCACACGAGAAGATGTAAAAAATGACAGGTTGGCTTTCTTGGACTGTGAGGTCTCAGTCTCTGATAGAGGACATTTGCAAACTGAGGTGTACCGCAAACCCACCCACACAGACCAGTATTTGCAGTTTGACTCCCATCACCCTTTGGAGCACAAGTTAGGAGTCATCAGGACTCTGTATCACAGAGAGACAGCATCCCCACTAGCTCGGGAGCTAGGCAGAAGGAGAAATCCTACACAAGACAGGCTCTAGAGCAATGTGGATATCCTAACTGGGCCTTCCTGAAAGAAGAAACCCAAACAGGACTCCAGTCAGCCAACAGGTGAAAAGGAGGAACCCAGACCCAGACCAGTGGTCATTCCATATGTTGAGGGAGTATCAGAGAAACTGAGACGTTTATTTTCTAAACATAACGTCCCAGTGGCTTTTAAACCCCAAAATACATTACGGCAAAGACTGGTTCATCCCAAAGATCCAGTCCCCCGGCACAAACAGAGTAATGTTGTGTATGCTGTTCAGTGTCAGGAGGGTGATCAGTCTTGCATCGGGGAAACAAAACAGCCACTGGCCAAAAGGATGGACCAGCACAGAAGATCAACATCAACAGGCCAGGACTCTGCGGTCTACACTCATCTCCAGGCCAGCGGTCACTCTTTCAGGGATGAAGATGTTCACATCCTGGACAGAGAGGAACGATGGTTTGAGAGAGGAGTAAAGGAGGCCATCTTTGTGAAAAGAAACCGTCCATCATTAAACAGGGGTGGAGGCCTCCGGGTTCAACTGTCCCCCTCTTACAATGCTGTGATTGCTAGTATCACTCAGCCCTCTGTGAACAGTAAACAGCCATCAGTGCGCTAATGATCCATTGTTTGGCCGATGGTCCTTCTTGAGCATGTGATCAGCTGGTTTTGGTTGTCAACAGCAAAACTGGTTGATCCACTCTGAGACGGTGCTATTTAAGAGACTGAGCTGAAAACAGCTCCTCAGACTGAGGAAGTCTCTCGGATGAGAGACGAAACATTTCTACATTTTTTGTTGATTTGCTTTGTTTTGTTTTTTTGAATGTCCAGAGGACCAGATTTAACTTTTTTAGATTTTTCTACCTGGATTATTGAGCATGCATCAGGATAGTAAAAGGTTAGTTAAAAGTAGGAAAAACTTAGGTAAAAGTAGCAAAAGGTCAGGTAAAAGTAGTAAAAATTTAGGTCAAAGTATCCATCCATCCATTTTCTTCCACTTCTCCGGGGTCAGGTCACTGGGGTAGCAGTCTAAGTAAGGAGGCCCAGACTTCCCTCTCCCCAGCCACTTGGGCCAGCTCTTCCGGGGGAATCCCGAGGCGTTCCCAGGCCAGCCGAGAAACATAGTCCCTCCAGCATGTCTTGGGTCTTCCTCTGGGCCTCCTTCCGGTGGGACGTGTCCGGAACACCTCACCAGGGAGGCTTCCAGAAGGCATCCTAAACAGATGCCCAAGCCACCTCAACTGGCTCCTCTCGACGTGGAGAAGCAGCAGCTCTACTCTGAGTCCCTCCCGGATGATCGAGCTTCTCACCCTGTCTCTAAGGGAGAGCCCAGACACCCTGCGGAGAAAACTCATTTCGGCCGCTTGTATCCGAGATCTCATTCTTTCGGTCACAACCCAAAGCTCGTGAACATAGATGAGGGTAGGAACGTAGATCGATCGGTAAATTGAGAGCTTCGCCTTTTGACTCAGCTCTGTCTTCACCACGACAGACCTGTACAGCGCCTGCTTCACTGCAGATGCTGCACCTATCCGCCTATCGAGCTCACGCTCCATTTTTCCCTCATTCGTGAACAAGACCCCAAGATACTTGAACTCCTCCACTTGGGGTAGGACCTCCTCCCTGACCCGGAGAGGGCACTCTACCCTTTTCCGGCTCAAGACCATGGCCTCGGATTTGGAGGAACTGATCTTCATCCCGGCCGCGTCGCATTCGGCTGCGAACCGCTCCAGCGAAAGCTGTAGATCACGATCTGATGAAGCCAATAGGACCACATCATCTGCAAAAAGCAGAGACGCAATCCTAAGGCCACCAAAACGGATCCCCTCAACACCTTGGCTGCGCCTAGAAATTCTGTCCAAAAAGTAGGTCAAAGTAGTAAAACATTAAATAAAAGTAACAAAAGATTAGGTCAGAGTAGCAAAAAGTTAGGTAAACGTAGTAAAAGATTAGGTAAAAGTTGCCAAAGTTTAGGTCAAAGTAGCAAAACATTAATTAAAAGTATCAAA